CAAAATCCATAATTAGTGATATTTTTGTAAATGGACACCTCTAAGTGCCATTCTTACAAATGTACACACCAAAAATGACATTTTTACAATTGCTCCTATTATCAGTCAGTTGTTAAAATATGAGAGGAATAAAATAAAAACCTGCTTGAATAGTTATTTTGGTGATTCTAAATATTTGTAAAGTTTTTTATTAACAGTAACTTATATATTGAGTATTTTATTGGATGTCCTAAAGTCCATGGTTTTTAGATTAGCCATTTTGATTCAAATCTCGCTTGTTAAAAACTGAAATTTTTGTTATTAAATTATATCAAGAGTGAATTTGGTGAATAACCAAAAAAAATTATAATTCAATAAATAAGCAAAATGAATCATGTGGCAAAATCCAAACCATTGAATCTTAAAAAATTAGTTAGTTATTGAATTACAATTTTTTGTTGGTTATTAGTGCTAATTTCTCTTATATCAAACATCATTTCGAATTATGTTTGTAGTGAAACAAAAATGCTTGATGGTATTTGGGAAAATTTTTTTTCCAAATCTATGACTATGTATTCAATGCATTCAGACCCAAATTTATCACAAAAATTATTAAATGAAAAATTTACATACTTTGCTTGATGGTAATTCAAAAAAAAATACTTGTCATCAATTTCAAAAAAAGATATTAAATGAAAAAACTTTTCCCAAATTTATGAATCTGAATTCGATGCATTTAAACCCAAATCTATCACAAAAAATTATTAAATGAAAGTTCTACATACTTGCTTGATGGTAATTCAAAAAAAAATACTTGTCATCAATTTCAAAAAAAGATATTAAATGAAAAAACTTTTCCCAAATTTATGAATCTGAATTCGATGCATTTAAACCCAAATCTATCACAAAAAATTATTAAATGAAAGTTCTACATACTTTGCTTGATGATAATTCAAAAAAAAATATTTTTCGTCAATTTCAAAAAAAAGATATTAAATGAAAAACCTTTTCACAATTCTATGACTCTGTATTTGATGCATTCAAACCCAAATTTATCACAAAAATTATTAAATGAAAGTTCTACATATTTTGCTTGATGGTAATTCAAATCCATTAAAATACAAGAACCAATAACCCCTAGACTTACATTTTAGTTTGTCACTCTTGAGTCTTGGCCACTATGAAATTCATATGATCATTGATACTTCGAAATGATTTTGGATATTGATTTTCATATTGCAATGACGTCTATACATCAGTTGAGTTTGATAGTACTCTTTGTGTGTTTAGCCGTAAAGCAAATCGCTTTTTCTTTTCTTTTTTAATGTAAAAGATCATGAATACAAAAACCATATGGGACGCTTTTTTATCATCACTACGTGTGGATGAATCAACCTCTTAATTAACAATTTCCCTTTATCAAAATGCACAAACGGACGTGTTCATTAGTCTCCAAGGCATATAATTAGCAATGATCTTAGTTTCTAGACAATTGATAAATGGATATATAGCTCGTCTTTGTAGCTAGCCATTAAATTAAATGGTCCAACCATGATGATATATAGGTTTTGATGCGTCCTAATGTGCACACAATTAAAGATTGTTCTAGGTTGAAATTTTGTTAGACTACTCAAATTCAAGAATATAATGAATCATTTTAATGCTACATATAATAACTATATTGATCGAATTTGCATCATTGTTGAGGTAATCATGAGAAGCCGTAATTGTTTTCGTTATTATTATGTGCGAGTGTGGGAACATAAAGGAAAAAACAGTATATGGAGTGAATATGACTAGTCATAGAGCC